TATTTCAGGTTGAAATGTTTTATAGTTTCGTCATCCTGCGTACCCGATATGGAAAGCACTTGATTAAAAACGAGATGAAACCAAAAACGTCGATAGACCTGGACACCGCACGCGTCGCCGCTGCCAGAAAACGTCCTCTGCTCGAATTGGTTGCAAGCGACGGCACCGAATGACCCTTCGTTACGCGGCTAGTTGCAGTCCGTCGCGGGCACGGTTTGCTACTATGCTTCTCTATCGAATTCACGTGGCTCTTTCTGCGCGCTCTCGAGCGCTCTTTCCAGAGCGCGCGAAATCGGTTGGTTGAAAGAGAGTGATGTGAACTGATCGGGATGGTTCATTCCGGGGGCGCCCTCAGAGCGCTCTCTGGCACTCCGTCTGTAGCCGTCAGAGTGCGGAGCGGCGCAGGCGTCACGTGGTAGCTGGACGGTGATCTCGTGGTTTTGTTGACGATGGCCGGCAGTGGTCTGTCGTGGTGTGCGGGGTCCGGCATGACGGTGATTGATGTGTGCTTCTACAAAGTGCTTGTGCATTCGACGGTGCGAGGATTACAGCGGACGGGACGACATTCGTTTGCGACCGTAACGGGAAAAGCCGACGTGTGAAGTGTTCCCAGTGCTTTCACGAGATCGTTCATATCACGGCGGTGAATCCGCTAAGCCTAACCGACGACGAAACAGCTCTCAGAGCTCGCCACTGTTTTACCGGATTTTGTAGTCGCTTCAAGAAATTTTTGAGGTTTGGTAAAAGTGCGTTCAAAGGTTTGTGTTGTAAAATAAAGGGAGAGCCGAATATAATGCACTGTGATTTGTTTCACACTGCGATGCTTGCACGATATTTCGCCGTGAGAAAAATGCGGTTTATTAACCATTTTATATTCGTCTGCTCAGTCGTACGCATGATCCGCTATCGCAGCGCGTTTACCGTCGAAAACGCGATGAGTTGACAACTGTTTCCAAGCGTTGGCTTTCGTTCCGTTCTGCATGCTGTTGTTTTCTTTTTTTTACATGCTGATGAGTAAAACAATTTACGTCAACACCGTTATTTCATCACGTTGCGAGCGCAAATTTTGCTCAATCGTTCACCGTACGCTGTAAGATCGTGTTGTTTTTAATGCATTACCAATGTCCAGAAAATTTAATTCCGTGACTGGTCTGAGAATGTCAGAGCGCTCTGAAGTCAGGAGTTGTGATCGGCTGAAAAGGATCCCGAGTAGCTCTGGCGGCGAGGAGGGGGCGCTCTGCTGAATCGAGGTCAGACGGGAGAGGCGACCACCCGAATTCACCATATGGGAGACACGCTTGTTTCAAAGGGAGTTTTCGTAGACCGCGTTTCCCCATCCGCTAAGCCCTCCGCAACGATGAAGTCGCAACTGCGTCTGCGTGCCGATGGCCTTGGCTGTAGAATTCCCAGTATCGTAGCGGGATGCGGAGGGCGTTGTGGGACGCCGAAAACCATCTACGAAAACTCCATAAAGTTGTTTTCTGGGTGCGATACGTCAAGCAGAACTTGGCACATACTACGCGGACTGGTTAGATACTGCATCGTCATATTAGGGAGTTGTAGTAGACCGTTTCCCCAGCCCGCTAAGCACCCGGATAGCGCTCCGTGATTCCCCACAAGACCTTGAACTATGCAGACAAGGCGGGCGGCGCGCATGCGCAGCTGCGGCGTTTTCTTTACGGGCACCGTAACGGAGGAAAACAACGATCTACTACAACTCCCTGTTGTCTCTAGTTTCGTGCCTGAACGGCGGCAGTAACAGTTTTGTGAAAGCGTTGAAGCGGAGAGACATCTGCCGCTGTGTTCAAAGCAGCATGCGCCAAGGTCAGAGCCGACAATCAAAGAAGAAAGAACGCGTTTTCTTTTTTTTTTTTTTTTTTTTTTATTCTTCAGTTGCATTATGTGGACGACGGAGGCGCTGTCGGCTGAGGAATCTCAGGCGCGCACGAGGACATTATCTAGTGGATCGCGTCACAGAATTCGCCGTGCTGTGTGTCCTCACCTACGAGCCTCCATCACTAAAGTTTCCTGAGACTGGTGGCGCCGCGCTACGGCGACTTCTAGAACCATGCATTGGGACGGTAGGGTTCCGGCCAAGTGGTGATGTGATCATAGCCGCATTTACATGAATGCGACTTCAGCGCATCGACTCCAATCGTCTTCCGAAGGAAGCCGACGCGGCAACGTTTACATGGATGCGCACCAAGCCCTACGCGAAGGTGGCGCCACGCCGTGTCAAAGCTCGAAGTTAAAGCTGCGTTTCCGGCACCGGCCGCACCACGAGACCACATTTTCAGGTGCATCGCACGTGAAGGCATTCCGATGCTTTCGGCAAGCGTAAACTAAAGATTGTGCCCGCTGTCTTCGATGCTGTGCAAGGAGTTACGAGACGGAAGAAACATCAAAACCCCAACGTTTCGGGCTCCGGGTCGGGCCGCTGGACCACTCTGGATCAGAGGCGACGTGCGTGCGCACGGAATGGCGAGCGAGATCGTTTCCAACCACTATGAGGACGCCACCGCGTTTCGCCTCGCCATACCTTGCAAACTGCGAGCGGACCCCGAGGCCGAAAGGCTCCGGCGCAGCCAGGAACGGCACCGAGATAGGAGCAGCTCGTTTTGCGCTACCATGCAGTGCTTGGAGCTTTCGGCGTCATTCCTGCTTGCGCCGAAGCCTCTAGGCACTCCTTTGAACACGCTAGTCGTATTTCGCAAGGCTAGGACGGGGCCGCCCTCTCCGAGCAGCTCAGTGATATTCTCCTCATTTAGGTTGGCAATAAAAACTCGCGTTTTTTCCCGGGAGATCCTGCGGGTGACCACACAGAACCGCTCTCCGCCGCCTTCGCCGAAGTTAGCCGCCGCCATGTTCTCAGCTGTTCACTCGCTCCCGCCGCGAGCGCCTTCCCATAATTAAATGACATTTGAACGATCGGCCAATCAGCGCGCGACACTCCGAGCGTGGGGCGCTCCACGCGCGACACATCGCGAGCCGATTCGTCAACCACACGAATGTCATTCGTTGTAAATGGCATTCGAGTTGCCCGTGTGGCACGGGTATTAAATGGGTTCGCAAAAGGAGGCGGCGCTGGAAGGGGCGTTGGCAGTGCTCTGTTGCTTTTGGAGCTGCGTATTGCAAGGAAAACAAAACCATACTTTTTTTTTCTGTTTTAAAGGACTCGAAGGCCGCTTCAGACAGGTTGGATTTCCTTTTCGGAGATAACTTATTATAACTTTGGAGTTACTTCCAAAATATTACAGGAGCATTTAGGCAGAGTAGAAAAGCCAAACGATGTTTCCATTTTTAATATGGGTATATACATGAACTCGGGTCTTCAATTTTTTTTTTTGAGTCTGTTTAATTATTTACAATACTTACAATAAACATAACACTCACGATAATGAGCTGGTTTCGCGAAGAATTTTTTTCCATGGCAATGAATACATGGCATGCATAGCATACCCGTCACGATCGCGAAAATTCGTGGACGCGAACTATCAGCAAAACGGGCCCTTTGAGACATTAAAGAAATACCAAGATCGGGAAAATAAAGTCGTTTATAGTACTTGTTTTGCAGATGCATGGCTATTATAAGCGCACCGTCTCGAGTTTTAGATGTAGCTAACTAAGATACGAAATAAGCGTTCACAGTCGCTACGATTCTCACTGCTTTCCGCAGGTATGCTGGAAATTCCGGAAACAGAGTTGGAATGCTACCCGCGCGAAGACTTCTCGTTTGACCGCTTATGTCGAAGCAGACATCTTCGAAGTGCACCGAACACAGAACGACAGTATTCTTAGGCGACCATCCCCCCGTCGGATAGCACCTGCGACGTGCAAACATGTTTATGGCTCGTCTGCTTTGCCGTTCAAACGTACACATACGACTGATGTGATCTTTGCCTTGAATTGTTGTGAAGTGCAGCGTTCCATTGAATGCAAGTCTTTGTGAAACAACTACAACCGTTCCGGGAAGCAATGGTGGGCTCCTTCGTCGCTTTCGGCTGCGTAAATTGAGTGAAAACGGCTGGAAATACTTTTCATGTATAAGTATGCAGCAAGCACGTTGCAACGAATGTTGCTCGCTCGCTATAGCTTACTACTGCATGTGAGCAGACTTACGGAAGAAAGCTCGATGAGTGCACTCATCGAGCTTTCTTCCGTAAGTCTGCTCACATGCAGTAGTAAGCTATAGCGAGCGAGCAACATTCGTTGCAACGTGCTTGCTGCATACTTATACATGAAAAGTATTTCCAGCCGTTTTCACTCAATTTACGCAGCCGAAAGCGACGAAGGAGCCCACCATTGCTTCCCGGAACGGTTGTAGTTGTTTCACAAAGACTTGCATTCAATGGAACGCTGCACTTCACAACAATTCAAGGCAAAGATCACATCAGTCGTACGCCGCAGACCGCGTCGATCCGTTTTCTGCCCCGAGCAAGATGGCGACGGTTGGTGTTTTTAAATGCGTAAATTAATTTTAAAATAAAAAAAGTAACGCCGAACGCTTTTTGCTGTGACACGTTGCACATTAGGTTACGCCGGTGCTGTGCTTTGGCTTGGAGCGGTGAGTTACCCAACTTTGTGTTGTTTTGCGTAATTTTCTTTTACATGTAGCTGTATATCTTTTCAATCTGTCACAAGTTCTGCGAATAAATTTTTCCTTTTTGTATAATGCTGTTAGAAGTTGTATGCATGAAGTGATTACTCAGCGTATTTTTGCATGCAATATCCTTTTGTGTTCTGAATGGATGTCCTGCTGACAAATTTGAGACGGGCCCCAGACCTCGTCAAGCTGCCATTAGCAGCTTTTTGTCTAGGGTTTCCGTTGGCTTAAAGGCCATAAATAAAGCGATTGATTGATTGTGTAAAGTGTCAGTTGTTTCAATTACATAATATCGATGAGGCAGACATTTTTTTTTTTTTTTTCAGAACCGCTTTATTTTTATTATCACAGCACGGGGTCAACGACCATGCGTGTTCTCGGGGTTGTTAGATCATGCCTAGCAGTATACGCAGTTTGCGCTTGCGCAGTTCTTCTCGCAGTCTGCTAGGGTTGCGAACTTCTGGCAGTTGTGAGGTCCGGTCTCCGACGGGATGGTCTCGCATTGCTTGGTGGTCGGGTTGTACTGTGCAGTCGCTGTCACGACGTGGCTGGGGTCATTTGCACCCGGATTGGTGCAAGCTGCGGGAAAGGAAAATGAAAGGTTATTGAAGGTTCTCATGTCCGTCAAATAAACTTTACTAAAAAAAAACAAACAAAAAAAAACAACACCGCTAGCCGTCCGACTGGTTAGCGCCTATAACGCGTCTCCGGCTTTTGTATTTAACGCACTCTAAAGGCCCGTTCACGCTCTCGCAACCGAGTACGAACAGGAGAGACGAGAACTGTTAAAACCTTCTAGAATTTCTTAGGACGAGAGAAGACACTGGCACTCTGGCGCCATCTATGCGGTGACCCTGGAACTGCATTTCATAAGAGCGGAGGTTTCGCGGGATTTCCGAGGTCGAATGTGCGTAATACCTATAAGAAAGGCTCGTTTATAACGTTAAAAAATGTTTTTCGAGCCAAAAAAAGAAGGATAATGCGCGAGAGAAATAGAAAATATGCCGGACCGCCATGTTCACACTGCTACCCAACAGATGGCGCCAGTGTGTCCCTTCGTTGTAAGAGGTATTAAGAGGTTCCAAGGCACCCGGTTCTAAGAGGTTGCAAGTGCGTGAACGGGCCTCAAAAACGGGTTCTTGATCTAAGTGGGACGCTTTGCGATAACGTAGGAGATAACTACAACTGCCGCGATTGGCCAGGCCCGCTCTGCGACTGCAGGCAGTGCCTAGGTCAACCGCGACGACGTTCAATCGCCGCAGCGGGCGATTTTGCCGAATTTCCGGCCGAGTGTGGAATTGTCACGCTGTTGATGGCCGCGATCCTGGCGGATGTCACAGCGGCGGTGATATATGCTGCAGACGCCTGTTCTGCTGCAGGTCGCTCTCCAGCTTCGCAGTTCACGGAAGCTCCAGAAGCCAGGAGTGTGAACGTGGCGACGACAGCGACGCTCGCGTTCGCTGCTCGAATTTTTAAATTTTTTTTTTTTGCCAGTACATGTAATAACAGTCGCTAGAATCGCGACATTCGAGTACATACGACATGCCAGCTTTCATATGAAAAAAAAAAATCGTGAGAAACGAGAGCACTAGCGAGCGTCATAGCAGGAAGGAGTAACACGCTGAAGCGGTTGAAGATCTTGTAAGGTTGCATATAAAGTTTGTATATGAAAATGGAGCAGCAGCGAGGCTCGAACCAGGGTCGCTACGGTGGCAGTCGGACACCATACAAATAGGACCAGAGGTAGAGGCAAATATCACGCGGAAAGAATAAAAACACAGAAAATACACGAGGGACAAACACACAGTTCTTTCAACCAACAGCCTTAGAGTGTCTGTCTGTCCCTCGTGTATTTTCTGTGTTTTTATTCTTTCCGTGTGATCCGTACTCTATCCAACGCGCTCTGCTATGTGTAGAGGCAAAGATACCTATATTTTTGCCTCTTCTCGCCATAGAAAGTAGGTAGCAAGACCAGCTAGCTTAGCGTCTGCGCACTAATTATTCCGAACCAGAGCTGGGCGCTCTGACCTTGCGTGCGAGCTCTAGTTTCCTCCTCTCCCTCAGTTTCGACCCTTAGAGCCATTGAGCTAAAAGTACAGCTTGTCTGTAGAGGGGTAAATGATTTTAGTTGCACGCAAAGTGTGCCAGCGAGAACGGCAGTTTTTGGATAAAAATATTCGAATGCAACGATAAACACAAATGACGGACAAATAAATATAATTAATAAATATATAAAATCATTTAAAAGATGAAAATAATATAAAAATACGATTAAAATAAAAAGTAAAATAGAAAAAAAAATTAATAGTAGAAAATGAACTATCTATACTCGTTTGCGCCCGAAGAATAAATGAAGTTTTGAGCACACTTCATGCGCAGCGCGAACTAGTTCTTACATCGTTTGGTTGTGGAAGAAAGAAGCGATATGCTTTTGGCGCTTGAAACGTGTGCGACTTGATAAGCTAACATATATCTAAACGAAAGTGCACTTTATATATCTCAATTCTCTACATAAAAGAGGAAAATAGTGATGCCCCGCAAAAACCGGGACCTCTTTTTTTTTTTTTACTGCGCTCTTCAAGGTGTAAACGGGGTGTGTGTGTGTGTGTGTGTGTGTGTGTGTGTGTGTGTGTGTGTGTGTGTTTGTGTGTGTTTCGGGAGACATTCAGTGTTTTTCGGTCTGTGCCAGCATGATGAAAACCTGCTTATGTATGGGCGGCGTACTAAACTCTGTTTCACCTTGTGTCAGGGGCGGATCCAGACCTCCATTTTGGGGGGGGGGCGGTTCCTCGGCGTAAAACGGGGGGGAGTGTTTATACTTTTTCTGGAGTCATCGTTTTTACTAAACTCTGATAACATAATATAGATCTTGAGAGCTTTTGTATCGGTTTACCTGTAGGGGATGAACTCTGAACTTTCTGTGGCTATGCACACCAAGGCACACGCTCCCGTACTTTTGACTGCATAGCCTCAGAAAGCTGGGCATCTGGCCAACGCAATGTCTCTGCTCGTGCGGAAAATCACGTGCAATTGCAAGCCTACCAAAGCTATATTCACGTGCACGCCACACGTGCCTGCTCGTATGGGGCACCAGTCAGGACGCTACACTGTAGCGTCCTGACTGTAAATTTGACCGTAAAATTTACGGTCAAATACCAGGCAGCTGATGCTGCCAAACTTGTACAGTAAAAATAACGGTGCACTGTAAATCTGGTTTACGATAAATTTAAACGGGGACCGTAGAAATCTACGGTCGGCCTTCAAATTTGCGGTAAAAAAAAAAATTTACGGCGCGCCGTTATTTTTACGGTGCAATTTAAACGGCGAGAAAGGTGGTAGTATTCAGGTTCATAACATCATTGTATAGTGATGTTATGAACTCAATGATGTTATGAACCTCGACTGAACCAAGCACGTTTTGAAGGCTTTCAGCAAGTTGGCCGAACATGTATTGTTTGTACAAGAAATGCCGACGTTGAAATTCATAAATGGTTTTTTGAACTGTTGATACCGGCATAAGAAGCGTTCCCTTGAACTTCAGGTACAAAAAAAAAAAAAAAAAAAAAAAAACAAGGTCGTATTTTACGGCCTTCCTTTTTTCTCCCGCAGACAGAGACATTAACACGTCGTAGTTATCATTAGGTGATTGCATCACGTTAACAGCACCGTCTTCATTAGAATCCGCACTAGTCGACCAAGTCGAAGAGTCCTCAACCTGAAGCGGGCCTGCAGGCGATGCGCCGTCGCCCAAGAAACCCGTCACTCGTAAATGCGCCCAGTTCAAATGTGCCGTGATCGAACTATGATTTCACACCTTCTGACAGTTGGAGCACGAACACAAAAACAAAATACTGTCGGTGATGTGGCCTTTTAGATGTTTTAGCAAAGCCTCCCTTGTGTGGCACTCCTCTAGGCATGGTGGCAAAGTGCACTGAAAGCTTTCGAAACTCCTCGAAACAAACCAAACTTCCCTTAGGCGTACCAATGGGGAGGCACTCACTTGATCGAATGACGCTTTAGCGAACGCCCACGTTTCATCGAACGACACTTTAGCGAATAGTCGGACGCCGCGAAGCGGCGTTTTCGGGTGGGCCAAGTGAGTTTATATTTTTTGTAATGAGTTGCCGCAGACTGTCGCCGCGAAGCGGCGTAAAGCGCAGCGCGACGGATGGGTTAACGCGCGCCCCCGTTATTCGCTAAAACGACCATTCGCTCAAATGTCGCCGTTCGCTCAAATGTCATTCGCTCTTGTGATATGGACCCCCTTCGTCCACACACTGAAGAATTCGAGAGCTGAAAACGTGCTCATCGAATTGCACAACCATCAAGCGTGCTTGAACAGAAACTACAAATTCTGCAAGTAAACATCTTTTAGAGTGTTGTATTTATGCCGCCGTTACACTATCCTTGCCAATCAAGCAGCAGATTGATAGTGAAATACCTGTCTCGAGTATCCAGTTGCCTTCCGCTCCAAATTTTCAGGTGCACAAAAATCCGGGAATGCCACAAACGAACGAGGACAAAATGGCGCGGAGACGGGTGGGAAGGCGGGAAAATGAACTGAACGTCAGCTTTTTCCACTTCTTTCCGCGTTGTCCCAACCAACGTTCCTTTCTTTTGTTTATGCTTCTAGCTCGTCGCATTGTTGCTCTACTGTTTGCTCTTAGTTCTCTTTTTTTTTTCTTTTTTCAGTTAAGGCAGTTACGTGGTTACGTTCTGCGTTGGCGCGGCTGGCGCGGACAAAGAAAGGAGGTGAAGGGGCGAGAGGAGACTCTCTGGGTTCCCGCAGCTTCCGAAAGGTCAAGCGTAATGACCAATTAGCGAAGCGCGTCTTTTCTTTCTGTTTTCTTGCTACATAAAGTTTTGCGTTTCCCTCTTGGTTTTTTTGCTCGTTTACGGTGCATTTCAGATAATTCCTCTTCACGGCGTACTTCTAGTTTTTATTAGCGTATAGCGCCGTAAATTTGACGGTTACTTCTTACAGTGTATGCTTTCGAAGCTAAGCGCTTGTGAGCCCGAGCATGCTGGGCGCCGATAAAAGCTGCGCACAATGCCTGGTTACTACTACTGATATGTCAAAAAACACCTCGACCGCACGAACACTCGTGTGGGGGAAGCTCCAAAACTAATAGATTGCGTTTGTCCAAAATGAAGTAGGGTAAGATGGGCCAAATGAGCCGCGGGGCAAAATGCGACAGTTGGAGTGAAGGCACCCAACGAAAGTTTTTGTTTAGTGCCAGCTATCACATAGACACAAGTTTCAAGCTTCACTGAGGCGTGCCTTAGCCTGTTCACTTTGCGTGAGCCATAAATGACTGCCTCTGGCAAGTCCTTTCCGGAGAAAAAGAAATGCCGATTTGAGATTGCCGAGTTTACCGCCCGTCAAAGAGGTGCATAATTCCGCGCGAGATTTCGCTTCGAGAAGTACGCCCCGGTTGGCACAGACTTTCTACCAAGGTATAATTTAATTTCATTCCTAAGTTGTATTAGCTTCATGCAGACCAAATTTGAGTGTTCAGCGCGCTTTTTTTTTACGGAAATAATTATTCACGTAACGGGATACGCGCGAGACAAAACGCGACAATGTGGCATTGTATGACGCGTGTGTCAATAATGTACCAGTTTCCTGGTTGTTCCTGAGTCATATTTTCCTCTCGGTGTCTAGGAGGATCAAAACGTACAAAAGAAAGACAACAGGGGCTTCATGGCGCATAAGTAACACTACGAATGCTCTTGAAAGTGAAGCAACAGCGTCACTCCCTTCGCGTTGCCGCCACACTTTTTGGCGTACCAAGGGATGTGCTTCAAAAGAGCAAAAAGACAAAAAAATAAAAAAAGCAATGGCTCCACAAAAAAAAAAAGAAAAAAAAATGGCGAGGCGTTTGGGGGGGGCGATCGCCCCCACCGCCCCCCCCCTTGGATCCGCCACTGCCTTGTGTTGTACAGCAGGAAAAACTACAAGCGCGAGCTCCTTGCTCTAGGGCACATCTCGGCGACACAAGCTCTCGTGCACCAAGGCCAGCTGCCAACGCTATCAGCTCGCGTTTGTAGCCTTCGCTGCGGTACAACATAAGGTGAAACGGAGTACAGGACGCTAAACACACAACTCGAAGATGCATTGCAGGTACAGCGTAATACGAATGCTAAAGTCGAGCTATTGAATCAACACCACATAGAAAACAAGGCTTGCGCCATCCCCCTCCCACGGAGTGTTGTACGCGTTAAAGTAACGAAATACGTTACTCGTTACTTGCAAACCCAAGGAACGCGTTACCGTCCTACGTTACTTCAAAATAGAGGAACGCCTTACTGTTACCGTTACCGATAAAAAGTAACGCACGTTACTTTTGCGTTACCTTTTTGAAGTTCTGAATTAACGCGTTTTACTGTTGTGACGTTACAGGTACGCATAAACGCCATATTTCAATAAGCATTATCTCCATGCTGAAGCTGAACGTAATTATTTTATCTTTTTTTTTTCTTAAAATTTGGCCTAAGCATTTGCAAGAAAGGACGCAAAGAAAAGCACGAAAATTCGAAAATTCACGTGGCTTGGCGCCTAGAAACACACACAAAAAATAAAGTGTAACTTTTTTTTAGGTCTTAAGAGGTAAATGTGTCGAGTAATGTAACCCTTTTACCCGATACTCCAATTACGTAACGGAAGCACGTTACCCGTTACTGTTTTGAAAACAAAAAAAAACAAAAAAAACAAAAAATACTTACGAGTACGTTACACGTTGGCGGAAAAAGTAACGCGTGTCACCGGTAGCACCATTAATGTAACGCGCTACCACCAACACTGCCCCGTTACTGTTTTGAAAAAAACAAAAAAAAAACAAAAAAACTTACGAGTACGTTACACGTTGGCGGAAAAAGTAACGCGTCACCGGTAGCACCGTTACTTGTAACGCTCTACAACCAACACTGCTCCCACATCATCACTAGGCGATCTAGGCAGTGCCGTCTAGTTGGCGTCCTCATCGCCATCAGCGCGTCTCGCAAAGCCTCACAACGAGCGCGACGCTATGGGGAGAGCAAGTTCGTCTGCTTCAAGCGCAGGAGGTACGGTGACGTCAGAACGACGCCGATCTCTGATTGGCCCTGATTGAAGGACAGTAGGTAGACCTCAAAGCAGGCTGCCTTGAGGTCTACCCACTATCCTTCATTCAGAACCGAACCAACCAGAGCTCAGCGTCTTTACACAATATCACCTACCTTGAGGATATGCGCAGGTGTGCTGAGGTCCGGTGGCGCCCGTTGTTCCTGAAATCAGGTAGAACACAGAGAGGAAGCGTATCAATAAAAGGACGAGTCGAGCTACGAGTAACCGTAAAACCGGGGTCACATTGCGCATGCATCGCGCAAAATGCAGTCTGCAAACACGAGTCATCGCAATATCCGTGGTTCGAATGCCGCGTGCCAAGTTTCCCCTTGAACTCGTTGCCATGCGGCATTCGAAGCACGGATCTCAAGGTGACTCGCGTTCGAATCTGTATGCAGACTGTCTTTTGTAAGATGTATAAGAAGTGTGGCTTTGGTTTATCTGTCAACATTTAGAAATTATTTTCGCGCATGTTAATGTCTAGCTCATATTCGAGGGTGGTCCTATTTTATTGGAGGGGCATTTCGAAAACACCGTTTACGCAGTGACATCCGCTTGACCGTTTTCAGTTGGATGCATTAGATAGCAGACTTCGGATATTCAGATTGCAGACAAAAAAGCCAATGCGCACACAAAGTGTGTCGAAAACAATACTCACTGCCTATCACGGCAAAGCAGAAGGACAGTACGAAGACCACCTTGACAGGGCTCACAATTGTAGCTGCCATTATTTCTGCTTCTTCGACTGTTGTTGTAAGAGAAGAGAGATGATGGCTAGGATGGTATTCCTCGTCTTTTATACATGCGCTTCACCCACAAGGAACGTACTGGTTCGCGTGGCTGTGTGCGGGAAAACAAGTCATTGATCCCGTTATAAATAATAAAAAAAAGTTATATAACTACCACGTCCGGTATGTTCCACGCGCGTATCCCCAGTAACTGTAATAGGTCATCAACCGCTATTCCTGCCGATCTTGCGCAGGGGGGAGTCTGGAAAAGAGACCTCACCTTCATTGATGGGAGTTCACATCTACGACGCGTGGCAGTCTGGTAAACAGTTTTACGGACATGACCCTTGCTATTTCCAGCAAGTTTTACGCCGGAAACTGTGAAAGCACTTGTTTTCAGAGTACGGCGGAAGACTGCTTTCAATCTTTATTTTTTCGGTTCGTTTTACTATGGTACGTGGTGGCTGATTTTGAAAATCTAAAGTCTGCACCGGGTAGCACGGGGTCGCCGAAGAAGAGAGAATAACTGCGAACTCAAGTTTCTTCTTGTATAGGTAAAGTGGGGCAAAATAAGACAAAACATTTTAAGTTCAATGGTAATTTTTATGTATGCCTCAATTAAAAGAAAAAAAAACACAGCATGGGGATCTTCTTAGACGTTTTGACTCTATGCTCAGTAAATATTGGATACATTAGGCAAAACTACAATATCTGAAGGTAGCATAATATTTCATTACGCCCTGCCCTGTGGGGCAAAATGAGGCTATGTAGTGGAGTAATCAGCCGCACTTCAAAAACTTGCTATGCGTTCAGTGTTTGCAATAAAAACACATAAAACACACTGTATGGGCTCCAACGCCCATGCACTCAATCCATACCGAATACGGAACTGCTTGACTCCAAATGTCTTTGCATACTAGGCACTGCCACTCTCTTATGGCGTGCATCGCGCGGTCTGCAGAACGCTGGGACAATCCGCATTTCTTTGAGCGATTACTAATGATCTTTCCTTTCACTTTCAAGACCTTTTATTTATTTTTTTAGAGGGGGGGGGGGGGGGCAGTGGAATACCGGTCCTTGGTTGCTTTTTGCAACTTCAGTTTTGCCTTGTGGGAAGATGATGTTAGAACAGTGCTGCTTTCCGACTTGCTCGTTCTCTTTTTCTGTCCTATGTTAGGTAGAGAAGAAACGTTCTTGAAACTCGAAACGTAGGAAAGAACGCGCCTTCTGTAGCCCAGCAATTTCTTTGCAGAGCCGCTGTCTGCACACTTCCCCGTTGTTTGGCTCACCTTTGCAGCGCTTCCTTTTGTACGTCTAAAAATGTGACAGCAGTGAGAAGGAAGGGACGTTGTTGTTTGACGGTTTTACGAGCTTTCTTTGTGTGATTTTTGCGCCATAAAGCCCTCGTTCTTTTTATTTTTTACGTTCGCATCATCTTAGACACCGGGAGAAAAAGAATATTATGGCTGAGGATCAGCCAGGAGATTGTGCATTATTCACATGCGCGACATAAAATTCCAGATTGCCGGCCGCCTTTTGCCCCGCACATATCCTGCTACGTAAATAACTATTTCGCTAGAGAAAGAGACCACAGCTCGCTAAAATTTTGTCCGTATGGAGCTAATAAAGCATAATAATAAAATTAGATCTTAGCACCCCGGTAGAGTAGTCGGTGTCAGACTGCACCCCTCGGAACGAAACCTCGCCCTGAAATTTGTGCCTTTTTGGTAAAGGGTAAACGCGTCAACCTTAACGCCGCCTTTTTTTTTTCTTTCTCCAGAACACTCTTTACGACAGCTCTCATTTTTTACATATGCAAAGAAACAGGTCATGACAGTTCTTGGTGAGGTTTGACACGACCCCGAAAGATTGCTTAGGAGATGGATGGCTATAAACAGAAAGTGTGGCATCTTGCCCCGCGTCTCATTTTAGCATGTGTTGTACGGAACGGCGTTCTTGGAACTCATTCCTTTTAGGAGTAAGGAAGGAACACCGCCATTCTATTTGCTTCGGTAGAACTGAAACTGGAACTAGTTACATTTTTACTGAAACGAAAAAAGGAACAGCGTTCCTCCTTTTTTTCGTCTAGTGGGTTAAGTTTTATTTTATTTCCAAGAGGAAAATTCTAAAAGTATAAAAGCAATACTTAAACGAAGAGCAGGATCTTGTTAACTTTTCGGTTATTTATCTTAGGGTTTATTTTGTGTTGTCCTCTCTTTTTAACGGTCGGGTGCATGAAAGCTAGTGGTCATCAAGTTTTTTTTTTTTTTTTTTCACTACCGAAGATAGCGGCACAAAAAGCAAAACTTTTAGTCGAAGGAAAGGACACCGAGAGGGACGTTTCAAACTCGGTTACGTTTTTTGCTTCCACAAATCCGCATACATCTCAAGCTGACAACAGCCATCAATGAACTTCCACAAAGAGACCTGCAGTTGCAACAAAGGAACAGGTTACCAGACATCGAAAACACCTTTGTACCCGAACATTGGGCGCTCAAAAGACACACACAAATGAACCTCTATTCCTTCAACCCTTATCCCCCACCTTCAAACTGAACAACAAATCCAATCTTCACGAAGGACTTGTAGTCTTCAAGTCTGACCTCCCAAAAACCCTATTTTCTGCTTCACTTGCTCGTCTTGTGGACATCAACATCGAGAAACAACGTTGTTAATTTCGAACACGGGAATTTGTTCGATTGAAACGTATGAGGTTGTTGTTAAACGCTCGTGCAATGTGGAGGAGCAGTACATTCGGCTCTTCGGAACCGCGCACAACAAAGATTATATGGTTAAAAGCTGAGATTCTTTAAGGAGAATATTTCAACAAATAAAACACTGCTTCCGCTTGTTTTCTTCTCCTAGTGCTTCCCCATCACAACAATGTTATTCGTATGTTCCCATTTAATGCGATAAGAAAACGTTTCTAGATGTAATTAATAATGGTCATCAGCGAAATACAAATGTAACGTATATGTAGCGATACGTTCCATTTTTTTGGGGGTACAGCGGGAATGAGTTCCTTTTTCATATATTGCCACGCTCGTCAGCGAGCGACCGCGCGCGTGGCCGAGTGGTTACCGTGCTTGACTTTCGTGCAAAAAGTCTGGGTTCGATTCCAGTCAGTGGAGTGCTCCTTTATTTGTTCTTTCATTGCGTTCTCGTGAGTTCGAGAACATTTTTCGTCAGATCGAGTTCTGAATGTTCCAGTCGCCGGACAATCTAGGCCGATTGTTCCAGAACCCAACGCACGTACATAAGGGACTCCGCGTGCTGATCTGCAGTCAGTTTTCGCCCAGCGTTCGACTCTGCTGCTACGCCGATTTCGACGCCCGCGACGCTCCGTTATTATCTTTTGTAACCTTTTATTTTTGGCACAAGTTCGACACATTAAACGTTTATTTCTTTCTGTTTATTTATTGTTTATTGGCCACCACCCGTGACGATATCAAACTTTTAACGGGAACGCGTTCCAAAATCACAAAGAACGAGGTGCGATCTTACGTTCCTTTTTTTTTTTTTTTTTTGAAGAACGTGTACAACACCAATTTTACCCCACCTTACCTATAGTATCTGACAGCTTAAGCAAGGTATGGAGTGCCAAATTACGTTAAGAGTCATTTTTTGATGTTCTTGTCGACTAATTCTGAAATTATTATGATTGCAGAACGCAAATAAGATGAACAGGACTCGTATAACGCCTTAAGTTTCAGTGACTTATGGTTTACGTTTCAAAGACCCTAACACAAAAAAGAAAACAAAAAGCACGAATGAACATAAATTGTTATATAATAATTTATAAAGACATACAATTTCTGTATTTGTTCCGATATGCTGAGTGGACAAATCACACGAGAAAACGTCTCTCGTCGACTGAGCTACAAAAAAGGTTCAGGTCCAACTAAATTGGCTTATTTTTCTACCCGGCGACAATAGAGATCGTGGGGCTTTGGAAAAAGAAAAAAGTTGCAGCTAGACAGCTTGACGAGTCCGCAGGTTCCGTTTCAACATTAGCTAAACAACATCATAGCGAAATAAACAAAAGAAAGACAGAACTCACCAAAATTGACTTAAGCACAGCTCAGTACCACGGAAATTAACTTTAAAAACTTGTTCCCATGATTGGCGTGCAATAAGCGAAGTTGGCTCTACTGGAATGCGTTTATGCACAAAAAAAGAAAAACAAAACAAAAAACATGCTGATTAACGTTTAATCAAGATGTCAATGAACAATCTAGGTCCTTTTTAAGTTTAAAATATGTACTATCTAATTCGCTCCGTGTGTTGAGAGTGGCTAAAATGGTTTATTTATAATTTGGCCAGGTTACAGACATTACTTAAACGCCTTTGGGTTTTTGTCCTACTGCGGGCACCCAGCCTATATCTATGGGGGGGGGGGGGGGGGGGGGGGGGGGAGGGAGTGGCTACACGTTATAGATTGGATACATAAATAATATATAAACTGAATTTTTTGCTCGCTCCATTAGCACACAAACCAAATTCTTTTAATCTGAAGAGACAATTCGTTGTCTCACAAGTGGCTTATTGGCTTCAAATGTGATCACATTTTTTTTTGTCTTCGTGATCCCCTCTTCGGCGTTATTATCGACGAATGGCGAAATCTAGTTGGCTCTCGTGCGATAACTTAATAAACTCGTGACTCCCCACGCGCTGCGCTTCTTAAGTTTTCGCAAACTATAAATGCCAGCGCTTTTGGGAGGTGAAACTTGAAAGTGATGTCACATATATTTTTGTTTTGTCGATTTCCCGGGAGACGCCTTTGTTTCGGTTCCAGTGACTTTTGCGGATGATTCATTCGCTGTAGATTTTCTGACAAATTATTCGACTTTAATTAAAAAAATGCACACATAGACGGTTTTCTAATGAGTCATGGAGGCAGGTCGACACACAGGTCTTTATGTCGTTCACTGTAAGTGTTCACCGTTCAGTGTTCAGTGCAATAATATATATATATTCGGATATATTTCTAGACCTACTCTACGTTTTGAGAG